ACCACTATCTCCCCCATGTTGCGATGCTTTATGAAAGTCGAGCTGCTATTCACCGCCTTAAACCTGAACCGTCGAAGATCCACCCCCTGTCAACTAACGGCCGAGACGAAAACATAACAGCAGAGTTCTATGCAGCCATACTCGACTTCTTTCGCCAGGGTGGTCAAACCAAGGACAATTTCTTGCATAGGCTCTGGCCATTTGGTGGCGACGGACTCACCTATCAGCGGCTACTCGAGCTCCAGCGGTATCTTCAATACAACGATAACGATCTTCTCAGTCTCCGAATTCTAGAGCCACAGTTAGAATGGTGGCATACGATGTGGACTGACCTCTGCCGAGTCTATGAAACTCACTGGGGAAAACCTCTGAGCAAGGATCCGTCAACTTTGGGTCACAGCTCACGAAAGATTGGCCGCGAAGACCCCTCCAACTTGAAGAAGGTGGATTATTATCCCAGTGCTCAACTGGCTTATCTTGTACTGGATGTACGGATGCTTGACTGCTGGAGGTAATCGTTGATGTGTTTCTGTAATTTCCAATATTCATTAACGTTTCCAGACTCTTACTCAAAACCCCAGACCTCTTTGTTTACTTCCGAGACTGCAAAACAAAAAACATCATCCCGCCTTTCGAAGATCTAGAGAAAATAGCTCGTCAACTGTATGCCACTTATAGTTGCACCCGCGGGATGTCTCATGCCATGCACAACGCCGACTTACCAGAAGATAAGCTGGATTGGACCAAGAATGTCCCCATGGGCACCCCTTGGACTGGTCTCGCGGCGGAAGACATTGGGCTGGCACCGTCGACGTCTTCCATCAGGATCGCTGCGGCGCAAAAGCAGAAATCAAAGAAAAAAACTCAACTGCAGCAGCGTGCTGAAGTCGAGCGTGAAGAGGGAAGAAAACATGCGGACGACGTGCTTGCAAACTCGATCGCGTTCATGCGAGATACACTCGTATCGCGCGAGTGTGCCAATGCGGTGGCATCTGGGGATGTAGGCCGGGTCTGGGAGGTCCTAAAGGTGTGCAAATACTTGTAGAATTGACTGAAATCTAGATATACTGAGCACAAGAGTGTCTAGGTTATGCTTTTTACTTTCGCGGGCTCAGCACATTCAAAATATGCAACGTACCTACTAGAAACCATCACTGTCCTCGAGATCGAATCCAGCGCCGCACTCCGCAAAGCTCTTCTCTCAACAATGCTTGTAAACCTGAGCGGGAAACCCGGGACATTTGCTCCATGCGATCTGATCCAAGAATATTTCAATCGCCTTTTGGAAGCGATTGTAGAACGAAAAGGGAAGGAATTTGACCATTCCTTCATTCAAAGTGTCATCTCGCGAAATCTTCACAATCTAGCCCGAGTCAAAACTGACTTACGCGGTGGTGTTGACCTTGAAAAACGCGCTGGTCGACACACCGAACCACACAACAACCCTGAAGTCCGTAGCCTCCTGCAGCTGTATGCCCATCATGAACTCCATTCACGCCGTCCAGGTCGTTTCATTGAAGAAAGAGAGGTAGATGATTTCACGAAAGGTTATATCAAGTTGAGTAAAGGGAAGATGGCAAAGTGGGCGAACGAGACTACGCATGCACGTGTGAGAGAAGATGTGAAGTTGCGCATCTCCACTCTACACCCAACAGCTATCACAACAACCAATACCTCTGAAACGTCCGCTACTAATACCTCTGAAACGTCCGCTACTATCTCTCTCAATGACGGCGACCACTTGGACGAACTTGAACCTGAAGACAGCGACAGCAGTGACGGCTCGGACTCTGACGATGAAGACCCGAGCTTTCGAAATACCCTTGGAGTCATGCAACTGGTCGATGGACAACTCATTGCACAGACATTCGACTTGCAGCTGACCGCTGAAGAGGCCATGGCTCTATTAGAGGCTGAGTTGAGAGAGGATGAGCAGGCTGAAGAGGATGCTGAAGAGGAAGAGGATTCTTCTTCAGATAGTGACTGGTATGTCTGCTTCGTTTGACTTATGGAACGGGCACTCATTATTCAGATTTTCCTAGAATTAAACTAGGTACCTTTGAACAATGAATACTATTTTGTTGACTGGCCTGCAACTTTTGCTGCCTTCTCCTCGTCCTTCCTCTGCTTCTCAGCCTTCTGAATTTCTTTAAACTCCAGCCCCAAACCCATAATCCTCTCAAAAAGCTGTTGACTATGAGGCCGAAGCCGTTTGTTTTTGGATATCAACTCGTGCACAACCTCTGGTGTTGTAATTGACGCAAAATGATCAAGAACGAGCTGAATTTCGTCGTCGGCAAAGTAAAAAAAAGGTGAGAGCATTCCACTACTCCTTGGATCCGCCGCGTTGAAAAGTTCGAGGCGAAACTTTTTCAGCTCACGCGCCCCATGTACCCTCATTGGTTTTGTGAGACGCTTATGTTTTGCCGGAAGCGCAAGACCCGAAGCAGTATTCACCGGTTTGGATGGGGAGGAGGCGGTAGAGATGGTCTCAGGAGAGCAGCCACTGCAGAGGCAGGGTACATGGGCTGAGGGTGGGGGAATCTCGATGCAGGTCTTGCAGGAACACTGTACGTCGCTGTCCGAATTTTCATACTGACGATCCAGGTCTTCGACCTTGCACTGAGCAAGATAGAACTGAGCTAAACCAAGATCCATTATCGAGGGTTTATCGTCGAGTGTGGTCATCATTCTGTGTTTGGCCAGCGATTCTTCTGCTCGTTTTCGGGCGTTGGCTGAGAAATAAACAATGCCTTGGCGAGTGACTGCTGACTCGCGATACTCAGGTCTGATTTTTCCAATCATTTGTACCATCTGATCAAGGTCTTCAGGGTCTCCATAGATGACAACATCCTCAATGCCCTCAAGATCTATGCCAACAGCAAGAGTGCTGGTAGCTATAACTACCTGGCACATTTGAGAGCGCATTAAATTGCGTGTAACCTCGTTATATTCCTTGGAAAGGGAGTCATACTGGCGTAGTCGCTGCAACACGGTACGAGGATCACCACCCATCTGCTTGTCCTTGTGATGAAAGTAACCTAGAACCTGGGCACCGAGTCGGATAGTACGACAAAATACTATAGTGTTCCGTTTTCTCTCCAGGACCCAGTCGAGCTCCCGGAAGCGGGTTCCATCAGCAGGTGAGCTTATTTCACGAACGATTAGCTGAATATCGTGGCGCTGATTGGAGCGTTTGATAGAATGATATTCACCCTCCTTCAGACCAAGGAATAGGCATACAGTATTGAGCGCGTTACTGCGCATCGTTGCTGTGAGGCATATGAGAAACACGTCGTCTGATAGCCTGGAACGCGCAAGACCAATCTGTCGGAATGGTTTTCGAAAGCTTTTACCCCATGTGAGTAAGAGGTGGACTTCATCGACGGTGAGTGCATAGATACGGTCACGGAATTTCGAGTTTTTCAATGCTGTCTCATAGTATTTAGATGTTAGCTGCTCCGGAGACATTATAAGTAGAGAGATTGTCGGGTCTTCCTGTGCCTGAACCCAAAGGTCTGTCTTTTTGCTTTCCTTCACCTCCTGAATGGTTTCACTGTTGATGATCAAGCCCTTTAGACCCATGGCCAACAGCTTCTGTTCCTAATACAAGGTATTAGCAGCAAGTAGCAAACTATATCAAATCTCTTCACCTGTTGATATTCAATATAGTTCGTTGGACAGATCGAAAGCATGAGTGGATCATGTGGAAATTTTTTGGCTATCGCTGCGGCTTCTGGATACCGTTCTGGGTGCTGTTTGAGCTCTTTCACGACGAGCGCCGTGAATGCGATATATCCGGTCTTTCCTGAGCCCGTAGGTGTCATTGCAAACACATCTCTTCCATCTAGAGCTTTTGCAACCCCTTCAAGAACATAATCATGCGCGGGATGAGAGACATAGCGTGTGATAATTGTGGAAATCAGATTCTTGCCCTGTGTTGAGCTGAAGGCGAATGGTTTGGACTCTTTCTGGCCTGACAGGCCTGGCTCAGCGACACTCATAGCACGTATGGCGCGTCGAATACATAGAATAAAAATTTTAATTAGTGTGTACCTGAGTAACATGACATGCGCGTGATTTCCCAAAAGGGTAAGACGTCAGGTACGGTCTGGGGGGCGCGGTTGAGACTAGACTAGAACTAGGGGGGAATGTTTTTTTTTCGGATGGTGCTTATCCGAACAACTGGCATTCGCTCCACACTAGCAAATCGAGGTTTCTTTAGGCAAACATAGGTCGTTCTCAACGAGGAAACTGGTCTCTGGGCTTGTACACTGGTTGTACATTTTCAGGCATTTGGAGATTTTGTAGTACTGGTTGTTGGTACGGACATTTACATGTAGTATTTTCAAAGCTCTGTTCATTGAGTTTATCGAACTGCGTCGATCTCGTTCCCTCTCGAATTCACACTACAAGCTGGAAAAGGGCCTCGTAATTGACTTGATAGTCGAGTGATATAGATATAACTCCTTTCTTACTGCCTCATCCCTTAAGTACTAATTATTATGTGTACGTGAGAAGGCCGCAAAATCTTGTCAATGTCTACAAGTGTCTGCAAGTTCCGTCGTTGCAATAACTCTGGACCGCTTCACTACCTAATTTGTTACAACATCTTTCCAAGAGTCTGGGATTTCTGCATCGCAACTTGCAAGAGCCCGATCTCACATTTTTGAAGTGATATTTATCTTGTTCACCAATGCGCGGCGTGGTCCTGACAAGGTCACAGTTTAGCTACGAATTGGGGTATTCCAAGCCCGTCCTTTGTGAGGGAACCTCGTATCAGTATGACTTCGATTTCAAAGGCCAATTCCGGTCCTGATGCAACGTTGCGGAGCTCGGGTCCTTGGGTGTACGTATGTGCAAAACTCGACTACCTCAATTTCAAACTAGGTTCTTATACTGCTATGCTTCAGTACCGGTGAGCTGGTTGTTTAGTGCGTATTTTGGGGGTATCTCTTGTGCTGTTTCAGCAAAAAGTTCACTTCGTCACTAACTGGTTGAGGTCCAACCAGGACTCGAACCTGGGTTACGGGAAGATGATTTTGTGATCAGAATCCCGGGTGATAACCTCTACACTACTGGACCATGAAACGCTTCTAATCTTGCAAATACAATAGCTATTCATAATCAAATGTGACGGAGCTTAGCAATTCCTTTAGTTCAGGCCTGTCAGGTACTATCCTTCCTTATCGATTATCATTTATCTACTTGATCAATCATGCCAAGAAGACCAGCTCACTACTACAATCTGCGATTTGGCACTGTTGCGCTGCAAGCCTACAACACCGGATGCAGGGTTTTGGGCATATCTCGTTCATTCGTACACGATCCCTTCAAGTTCTTTTGGTTGTTTTGTACAGCACAACTAACAGGCCAACTACAGGCCAGCTCATCATTCGGTACAACGGGAAATTTCGCTGGTTCCAATTCCGACATACCGACAAATCCGACTCCAGATTCCTTTAATCTCGTCAGGATTTCAAATTTTTGGCACTGCTTTATTCATTTTTGGTGTGTAAAACCCGTTTACAAGACTCCTTGGCTGGGAATTTCCGGCTTCTTTTCCCCAATCGAAGTTAGGGTATGAGTCTGTATGAGTGCGAAATGAAAGCAGCAGGGCAGTAGTTCGTTCCTCCAACTTCAGTCAAAGGCGATCACATCAGCTCTCGGAAAATATGTGGAAGGGTTCGCCACTGCCACACTGGCCAAGGCTTTGAGCTATCCAGTGGTAAATCGATTTGAAGTTCCGATGTTGATAATCTACGACGCCAAGTGACACGCGAAGAAAAGCAAGCCAGCTCAGCAAAGTCCAAAGCCAGACGAAATTTTTGATAGATTCCTTCAACCTGTTCAGTTTACAAAGAAAGGGTGCCTGATTTTCGAGGCCTCAGAGATTGTGAACTGTGTTTAGTCTTTCTTTGTAGTGAGCCTTTTACCGCTTGGAGAGAAGATATACGCAAGAAAATAAGGATATAACTACGTTAGGTATGACCCGAGCCTTGATGGAACGTGGGCCTCGACTTCGAGCTTCCTGAAATACTCTAGCAGGATTTAAACGAGCTCCGTAAGCAGGACTTGTTCTGAATTATAGGCGACTCGAGGACGACTTAAAAGTGTCGGCTGGAAAAATGAATCTACGGCAATATGTATTGATAATGATGGGCTTCCAATCAACGCTCATAAGTATGAGACAGGCGACCCCTCCCGCTTACGAGACACTCGTGATGCGCACGGTCGAACCATTCACCTGAAAATAGCTAAAAATTGGTCGCACTTCGCCTGCTACGCAGCAGGGAAGATTTCGTTCAAAAGAAAATACAGTTTTCCCACTCGGACTTGTCGGCTTGTTCGAGTGGGTTTAGACACTAGGTCTAGGCAGAACTTTGAGATCGTTTAGGGATCAAACACAGTCGGATAGAGGGACCTGCAAGTTCATTGGAGATCGGGTTGGACGGTAAGTATCAGTACACAAGCTGTTAAAGCCAAGCGCTAGTCAGATTTAATGAATTCATAGGCTTCAATGAACCCGGTCCCGGGCTGTTAGGTGTCATTCAATCCAATTGCTCAAGGACCTTAATGTACATGGTTGATACTGGGCATTCAGTAAAATGTCGCCCCAAAAATCTGAGTAGCACTAAGCATAAAATTCAATTATGCGCTAGACCTCAAAATCTCGTCAAGTGTTTGATTTTTTTTACCTGCAGGCAGCGCTCGAGGATTGACTTAGGGGTAGCAAGGTATATAATTACGGAAAGGTTTCCTGTATAATTTTCAAATGTATCGTTGGACAGTCTACGACAGCCAAACATATCTTGCGAAGATCTTTCAGAAATCCGCGTCAAACGGTTGCGACCCCCTTCACTACCGCAGCTAGTCGTAACAGCTCGACTAGGGTTAATACGTGTAGCTGTTCAGTTCCAGTAGTTGACAAAAACCTCAGAATACCGCACCAGGAACTTTATTGAAAACTCGGTAATATCCTGATTCCTGTCGGCGAAGACTGAGAGACATGAGAATTCAGAGAAAGTTGAAGGAAGCGGGTGCGTCTCCTTTTACTAGTACTATTCAGACCGGGAAGTAGGGAGCTGGGGCGTCAAATTCATATCTGTGACGTGACAGACAGCAGGACGCGCCTACAAATCCATATGTGGAGCTCTAAGCAATTCTGTTCCAACGGTATCGAATCCATCATGTTGTCTTTTGTCGAATAGCATATTAACCGAGCCATACTTCAAAGTTTCAGAGATACAGACGAGAAAATGAGCCCTGTACCCAGAAATGACGGTTTCGGGGGTAACACAGCAAGCACGCGTGAGTAAAGAATTGATGGTTCAAGCTGGAGAGTTCAAGACGACACTCGACTTGAAGGCAACGACCTGGGGAAGAAGTAAAAAGCTGTATTGTAGAGTAAGTCCTTCCACCGCCGCCGCCAGCGCATGCGATATAATCAAGGAGAAGCCACGAAGGCAAGTGCCAGCTGGATTACAAACTTTCACAAAGCTTTTCTGCAAGACCCACAAGGGGCAGATGATACCCGAACAATTCTTCCGTGCTTCATCTGACTGAAGCCACCCCAAGAGAAGCAACAGCGGGAATAAGGAGTGATTCCGAGCACATAGGACAATGCAAAAAAAAAATGAGCTTCGGCTTCTTGACTTGAACGTTGATATCGGTCAGCGATGACTAGTACAACCCTCAAGCGTCAGTCAGGCCTGAGAAGCTGGAGATAAGGGAATAGCTAAATTTGAACCTTCTCTTCCGGGATTGCTTGAGCCTACTATAGTACAAAGTTTGTGAACCTTGGGTCGTGCGGTCACCGTTCCCCCAGGTTCTGATCTTTCTCTTGTACTCTTGTGGGCTCACGTATGTACAAGAAGCTTCTTGGACTTGAAGAGCGGGAGAATATCAAAAGAGATCTATGTACTAAAACAAGATTAATTGGAGTTCAGGCCCTTGTAATGTTGATTCCTTTGAAAGATACCTATCAAGGGTCCCCTGGTCAGCTGAAGGACTTGGTTGGAAGAGCTACTCGTGGACAAGGCCATTCAATGTTACGTTGAAAATGAATTATCACTGTGATTGGTGAACAGCACTGAGAATTCCCTGAGAATTTCTTGGTTCGTTTGTGTTGAGAAGCTGAGAAGCATTATGATGAATTTATGACGTAGACGCACATGTCAGACCTCGAGTCCAACGTTGCAGCACAGAAAGGTACACTGAGAATTAGTTTTTCTTTCTTTATTGATTCCCACTGAGGCTGAAGTAAACGGGGTCAAAGTGTTGATAATGTAGTTATGGAAACGACATGGGCGGAGGAATTTTGTATCAACTGCGGAAAATAGAATAGACCAAATGGAACTAGAGAAAATATCCACCACGTCAAGCCAGAGAATAATGTATGAATGCATGTAGATGATAGTTATTGCAGAATAAACCCAAAATGAAGAATGGAAATACATAATGAATGAAAAAGAGCAAACGATGCATATACATGAGGATGAGGACGCAATAGCGCCAGCGCGAAGAGGTCCTAGCCCTCGTAGGTTTGATGAGAGGACGGTGTCGAGAACGACGACGACGACAACGACAACGATAATGGGTACAAGTGCGACTTCTTCCGATCGCGGTGCCGCGGATTGCCACATTCTGTAGCAGTGAGCGTTATGGCACCGATACCATAGCTGACTGAACGAGAACAGATGGCCCATGAACAGATTATGAGATCCAGTTTGAGAGTAGCCTGAGGTTAGCTTGAGGAAGTCGAAGAGAGGTAGGTGATGATGGCTCATAGGTAGTACACGGAAAACGAAAGACTTGGCTAGCAGTAGCAGCACAAGCGTTTCGAGAGTGATTTGGTTTTGGTGAATGACTATCTGAGTGACCGCAAGTGCCTGTGTTTCACCTGCGAGCCAGATATCTCCAATATATGGGATTTGGAGGACGTGTGTTAGGTTTGGAGAGATCTGGAGAAATGGTCAATGTGGGTCTGGGAGAAGGATAACATTGAGATACTTACGATCCACTATGCACTCCCAAATTTCTACGCCTTTTCCATCCCAGACACTACACTGGCTGTACATGGGCCAATGGATATTGATTTCCCATATTCTTGTAACGTCGCCGACACGAGCCATGAGGGTAGAAATCAAGCTGTGAGCTTGAAGAGGAAGAAAGTCAAAGCACCCAAGTCGTTGCGCAAGAAGAGATTCGGACAATCGTCGATAGAGAAGGACCTGATCCATTCCTGGGGCTATTTTATATGGAGACAAAAGTCAGACGAATCAGGCCGATCGCGAGCCAAGTAAATGCAAAGCGAACCGTACTGCCTCAAAATTGGTTCAATTCGAAATCTTTCCTAATCTGGATTTGTTCACTTGCTTTTCTATCACATCCTTGATTGACGTCGTCTATGAGAAATCACAGCTGTTCTTTGCTCGGGTTCTGCTCGTATCTATGTCGCGAGAGAAAAGAATACTTCATACAAACAAAATTTAGTACAAGGAACTCTCAGCAGACAATGAACAGGAAGTAAATCGACGGTGGAAAGTTAAAAACAACCCGGTCGAACCCGGAAGGAGATAGCTGAAACAGAAAGAGGAAAGAACGAACCGGGTTACTGGCAACTGTTCCCTAGTGACGTCGTTTTTTTCAACAAATCTATAAGGTATCCAATCTCCTTTCAGTCAAACCCATTGCCCCGCGCCAGCCCGCGCTTGAATTCCACTTTTGATAACGATTCTCTGCCAGGCTTTTGTGCTCCACAGTTTTTCTGTCACCAGACGCAGCATATATTATCATTCAAAGCGTATAACACTCCAGCATGACGGGATATCGATGATTCTCACCTCCACACCACGACTAACCCTCATTGTTCATCAATGGCCGTCATCAAGATTCATCTCTTGGATCATCTCTTATTCGTTATACGGGTACTGGCAGTACAAAGAATAGCCTTGTGAAGCAATCTTTGGCTGTAGGCAGTGAATTTGAAGGAAGGTGAGGCAGTTTTAGAATCTGAATTGCGCTCAATCTCCCTCGAGGCATGTTCAGCAAATCAGATATCGGTTCTCGTCGAAAGACGATTG